GCCTGCTTCTCCCTCTCCGATTCCCCTTGCTTGTGTTCCCTCTCTCGCTGTGTCTCTCTCTGTCAAATAAATAAATAAAATCTTAAAATAAATAAATAAAGGGACATCAATATTTAAAAAAAAAAAGAATAGTATCTGATACATAATAGGTACTCAATAAAGAATTTTGGACTTGAAGTGAAATGAAATTGAATAGTGACTGATTCTAGCATTTTTTTCTCAGAAGCTGATAGATTAGGCAGACAACATACTAATTAATAGAGTGTATAAGATCTGAACATGCAATTAACAACCTGGGTTAAATAGTCATATATGGAACTCAGCACCCAATAATTGGAGAATACACACTGTTTTCAACCAAATGTGGACATTTATCAAAACTGACTAAGTCTTGGGTGAAAAGTAGATTTCAATAAATTTAAAATAATCTGTAACATACAAACCATGTTCTCTGACCACAGTGCAAATTTGTTAAAAATATCAGGAACTTAAACAATATAACAAACTTCATAAGTACAAAGCTTTAAAAACACACTCCTGAATAATTCTTGGGTCAAAGAATCCTAAAGGGAATTAGGAAATACTTAGAATTGTAACATTAAAATCTGTGGGATATATCTGAGCAGCACCAAAAAGGAAATGTATAGCCCTTTGTGCTCATACTAGAAAAGAAAAAAGACGAATGTGCTAAACATCACAAAATTAGAAAAAGAACAACAGTGTAAACACAAAGAAGGAAGAAGACAGAAATAATAAGACCAGAAATTAATGACATAGGAAAGCAATGAAGACTAGAAAAAACAGGAAAGACTGAAGCCAGTTTTTTGAAAAAATAATGAAACAGGCAAACCTCCATTACATTTCTGAAGAAAAAAAGAGAACCCACACAGAAGAATAATAACGGCATGAAAAAGAAATGGTCGATGATCCTTTGAAAAGATGTCTAACCTCAGTAGCAACCACAGAAATGCAAGTTTCACTCCCATCAGATTGGTAAAAAAACTTAACCTGATGATAGAGTGTTGGAGAAGGCGCGGACCAACGAGGACTTTCAGCGCTGCCCGGGGAGGGGGTAAGTTGGCATAACCACTCTGGAGAGCAGTTCAGCAAAATCTGGTGTGGTCCACGTGCCTCCGCCCTTGGATGCATCAGCTCCACTCCTGGGAATGTGCTCCCGAGGGACCCTGACACGTGTGACCGAAGAGACGGCTACAAGAGTGTTCATTTCATTCTCTTATTCCATTTATTTATTTATTCATTCATTCATAATGTGGTGACTAGGAAATTGTAAATGACAGGTGTCTCCCGTTGTGCCTTCCAGGGTCAGCGCCCGCCCACGCCAACATGGTGTACTGGGCGTGGACAGCCAGGGCGGCGCATGCGGCTCAGTTGCCCCTGCCGGAAGCCCCGCCCAGCTCCCCTGCTCCACCGGATGCTCCGCCATTTCCCAGATAGTGCTACTTTCTTGCCCTTTTGCTTGCACCTTCGCCCCAGGCTTCCTTTCTCTGGCAGACGTTCCTTCTTGAACTTCCGTCTGGTCTCATCTTTCAATCCGTGAAGCCTTCCCGATGCCCCGTCACTCAGGAAGCTCCCCGCCCTACCGTGCTTAGTTTGTAACCAGTTCCGCACTAGGCTTTTCTCCAACCAGATTAATAATGGAACTAACCAACATTTGTATGGACTTTAAATTCTACAAAATAATGTCCACAGCCACAATTTAATGTAATCCATACAACTTTATAATATAAAAATTATGGGTATTGGGGCGCCTGGTTGGCTCAGTCAATACAGCATGTGACTCTTGATCTCAGGGTTGAAAGTTCCAACCCCGCACTGGG